CTGCTGAGAGCAAACAATGCTAGTTGGAAAAACAAGCATTGCGATTGTCGCTTAGTGTTTCTGTAAAATATAGACTGGAAGGACTTGTCCCGTGACTTTCGTGACATCTTGAAAATTATATTGCCTCGAGTTCAGTCGTCTCGTCATCATATATATATTGTGAAACGTATTCCATAAAACACATTTTATGGTGTATATGGCGACGAACTGCCCATTTCATGATTTTATTCACTGTAATGAATTCCTTAGTGCAAGGGCAAAACCACAAACAACATCTAATACTGCGATACAAAGTTGTACCAATCACGGGTATTTCAGGCAACCTACTTCACTTCGCGAAAACATTTCGATTCAGGTACAATGTATGTGACTCTGGCAAACGAAGGAATGTTGAGTCGTATATACACGACGTTTTGTATGTCAATGTAGATTTTCCTTTCTTGTTGTGTAGGTATAAATAACAGAATTTTATAATTTTTTTACCTGAAAACAAAACTGGATTGAACAAACGATAAAAAAAGAAGAAATTTATATACTGTAAACGACTTATTTTTCGTGGGCTCAATATTTCGCGATTTAGGTCAAAGCTGAAGTTTCGGAATAATTCGCGGGTTGTAATTTTCTCGACGCGGTGGAATCTGAATATAAATTTCAATCTGTTGACATTTTACCGAAATTTTTCGCGGATTGTAGGCGATTCGCGAAATTCTCAAAAATAAGTCCTCGCAAAAATCAGATCGTTTACAGCAGTTAGTTTCACGGCCTAAATAGTGCATATGACAGAACAAAGCGGAAAATATATTATCAATTTAGCGGTTCAAACCGGTTCGAACCGGTTTGAACCGTTATTTTTTGCGCCCCGGAACTGAACCGGAACTGAACCGAAAGCCGTGAACCCGAACCCGAACCGAAGCGATAAAAATATCGGTTCGACACTCTGCACACAACCCATTTTTTTTTTTCCTTACTAAAAAATTTGTATACATGATTTCTTTAATAAACATATCAGAACTCAAATAACTTATATAAGTAATTAATGTATAAGTTCCCACATGAGCTTATACGTTTTCATATTTATGGTTTACAGTCACATAATTTTTTTTTACGGCACTCTCAGAAGAAAAGAAAAAAAAGGGTGTCGTATTACACCCTTTGTACGAGCATATAATGCACCCAAAACTTTGACGTACAGGGCCCTAGAGTCGAACAGACGGCCCCAACTTTTACGAGGGGCTTGATAACGGTGCGATATAACTGACTAAACAGCCAAAGTGCGTATCAAAAGATTCAGAAGAAGAAAAAAAAAAGAACACAAATGCTTTGCAAATAAATAAAAAAAAAATATATATATATTTTTTTTAATTATTTGCTTATTAAACCGCTCGGGAAAGTTGGTACGACGGTTCGAAGTCAGTGCGCTGTACGTCGCTAACTGAAGTTTTGTGGTGTCTTATGTGGGACAAAGGTGGAATGAGTGAGTGAGTGAGAATACGTTTATTTCAGAAAGGGGACACCGGATACCTTGACGAAAGTCATCTTATCCGGTATGGAAGAATACACCCTTTTTTTCTCTGAGCGTAGGGAGTTACAGTAATCGCAAGTTTATTCCTCTAAAAAAAAAAAAAAAAAAATTAAGCTTCTTTTTTTTTTTTAAAAAAAGGTAAACAGTTATTTACTACACATTCCTAGACCATTTGAATGCAAACCATTTGAAAAATGAAAGCCGCTTACAACTCCCTGTAACGCCGAATTAGAGCGCAGCTCTTGAGGAGGAGGAGGGAAGGGCACTGGGGGGGGGGGTTAAACTAACCAGGGGGGGTCACGTTACCTTGGGGGTCACGTGACCCCCAATGCCGATGATGTCATCACTGACGTCACTGATGACGTCATCAGTGACGATGACGATGCGGGTACCGATGACGTCATTAGTGACGTCACTGATGACTTCACCAGTGATGATGACGATGACGATGCGAATGTCGGTGACGTCATCAGTGACGTCGCTGATGACGTCATCAGTGATGATGACGATGACGATGCGGATGCCGGTGACGACATCAGTGACGTCACTGATGACGTCATCAGTGATGATGACGACGACAATGCGGATGTCGGTGACGTCATCAGTGATGATGACGATGACGATGTGGATGCCGGTGACGTCATCAGTGATGATGACGATGACGATGTGGATGCCGGTGACGTCATCAGTGATGATGACGATGACGATGTGGATGCCGGTGACGTCATCAGTGATGATGACGATGACGATGCGGATGCCGGTGACGTCATCAGTGATGATGACGATGACGATGTGGATGCCGGTGACGTCATCAGTGATGATGACGATGACGATGTGGATGCCGGTGACGTCATCAGTGATGATGACGATGACGATGCGGATGCCGGTGACGTCATCAGTGATGACGATGACGATGTGGATGCCGGTGACGTCATCAGTGATGATGACGATGACGATGTGGATGCCGGTGACGTCATCAGTGATGATGACGATGACGATGTGGATGCCGGTGACGTCATCAGTGACGATGACGTCATCGGGGGGTCACGCGACATCGGCGGGGGTCACGTGACCTCGAGGAGGGGGCCACGTGACCTCAGGGGAGTCACGTGACTTCGGGGGGTCACGTGACCCCCCACGAGGTCACGTGACCTTGGTGGGGGGCTCGCGCGGTGCATTATGGGACATTTCCCATGATGCACCGCGCGGTTACGCCGACGCCGACGCCGACGCCGACGCCGACGCCGACGGCGACGCCGACGCCGACGGCGACGCCGCTCAAGCCGGAAACGGGCCCCTAAGAGCTGCGCTCTAAAACGGGCTTCTGCTCGCTACCAGCGTTCGTGCGTATGGCGCGTGCTTCGGCTGCTTTCCAGGAGGACGAACACACGCGAGCTGGGCTGTGCATCCGTAAACAATGACATGCAGGGGTGGAATGTGTATAGTTATTATAACGTACGCTAGAGGTAGAGCTGGCACTAATGTCTACGCGACTTTTGGGATGCACATTGGAGCAGACAGCAACCAGTCCACTTTTGCGGTGCGCTTGTGCTTTCCCATGGGAAAAAGCGCGTGCATTCTTAGTCTTCGCCGGTGAATAACAGAAGTATCCTTTCTTATTTGGGTCGTAGGGAATAGCATGTACCTTTATTAACATTGTAAAAGTGTGCTTGCTTTGATTAAAGTATTTTTTTTCATCGATGAACGATGTCAAAGTTCAGTATCTCGCAGGCCCAAACCTGTGTTCCACAGCAGGTGTGTAAAGACGAGTGACGAATCTAGGCAAAATAAGAATTGAAAGGAATATAGAGCGTGTTCAAGGTGTGGCGGCATTCCGATGGCGCTAATATATTGCTAACATGCCAGCCCTAGCTGTCACTATATAAAAGTGACTTCGTCGTGAAACTTTACGAGTGAAACTTTACAGATTCAATGTCTTACCACGGTGGCGGGGAGAGAAAGAGAGGGTGACGCGTGCTGACGTCAGCGCTTCGGACCAATACGAGCGTCGCACAGCCGGCGCGGAGCCAGAGACGAGCAGGCGCCGCTTTGGAATGCGGTCCAGCTCAGTTGCCGCTCCGGCGATGGATGGGGCTCTTTCCACGAGTGTTATGGCTGACCGTATCCAAGAGCGACGACGGAAGGAAGCCGACGCCACGCGTTCAATTAAATGAATCTGATGGAAACGCATTTCCATCGCATAAATCCCATTGATCGTCGAGCCAATTTTTTTAACTGATTGTGAAATAATGTAAGGTATTTATTACGCTAGTAACGATCAAAATATTTCCTCATACAATCGAGCGCAGAAAAAAAAAAATACACCCGCTTTTTTCCATAGGAAGACGTTACCCGAAGTCAATTTTCGAATGGTTGCTGTCCGCTTCTAGTTGAAGCAGCGCACTAGCGCTAGCTGAACCTCTAGCGTACATTATAATTCATCCGACCATAGAGAATAACTCTATAATCCAATGAAGGCTGAGTTGACCACATGCGTGATTTGCAAGCCCTCAAAATGGCAGCCATTTCGACGATCGACAACCGTGCTCGCAAAGCCGCGGAACAACAGATTCAAAAGGTCGGTCGGTTTCGTCGTTTTCGCCGGACCAATCACAGACGTAGGAAGAATAATTCGGGCAGGCGCTTTTTCGCCTCAAACTTGATGGACCTTTTCCCAGTAAGCTTCTACGTATGCTCACACTCTCTCCCCTGGCCTTGCTTCCCGCTCTCTGCATTTTCGCAGGGTACCATCCCGCACGACCAACATTGGTACCCCTCCTCGGAGATACAAATAAAGGTTATTCCCGAGTATTTCCAACAATATCGGTAAAGTTCCAAACGACGAAGAGACGGTGATAGATCCTTCAAAATTTTCCGCGCGCTTGCTGGCTGACGCTGATCAGTGCGCTCAAATGAATTACACAAACTTGGTCACGGCACGAGCATATCACGGGTGACGGAGATGGTGACATGCGTTGAGGAACTGAGCCTGTTGGTTTTTAAAGTTGCGAAGCGGAATGCCGCAATTCCCAATTTAACGCACTCGAGCGAAGACGCGGTTTCCACACGAGTGCATGTGTCAGTGCTCGGCTGGGCCTCGTGTCCAATGAACGCGTCGAAGGACGCTCGGCATCGGGCTCGGGTCCAATGCGGAGCGCAAGTCGTCTGCTTCTTGCACAAGGGTTGCGATGATGTCAGAACGCCGAGCTCATATGGGCTGATTGAAGAAAAAAATAGTGGGTAGACCTCAAGGCATCTAGCATTCAGGTCTACCCACTATCCTTTCAATCGGAGCCAATCAAAACTCGGCGTCGTTCTGACGTCACAGCAATCCCTGCACAAGAAGCAGACGACTTGCTCTCCGCATTGCTGAATTGGCGTCATCCGAGTGTGCTCACGTTATGTTCACGGAGAGGAAGCTTTTCTTAAGTCACGGAGACCTTGTGGTTGGATAGACGTCAAATGTAGGCAGACTCACCCAGCCGCTCAGCGTCTTGCGCCAGGAACGCTGCTGGAAAGAGACAAACAAAATCCCGTCAAAACCAAGTACACAGCAATACCAACAACAGATTGTGGGAAAGTTGACTCGTCCCACGCCCAACCCAGAACACCAACACGGAGTCAGCATTTCCAAACTATAGGGAGACCCTTTTCTTTTTCAAAATTGCCGGAGGGAGGCGCTTTCGGTCCTGTAACGTTCATGAAATATTTTATCAGCAGTTCTGCACGGGCTTAACTAAATGTCCGGTTACCGAAAAATTATTTTTTTAGAGCGCAGCTCTTAGGCGCCCGTTTCCGGGTTGAGCGGCGTCGGCGTCGCCGTAACCGCGCGGTGTATTATGGGAAATGTCCTATAACGCTACGCGCGGGACTCGTGACGTCACGAGGGTCACGTGACGTCACAAGAGTCACGTGACCCTCGGACGTCACGTGACGGAGGGGAGGTTGGAGGGGCATACCATCCCCTCAGTGCCTTCCCCCCCTCCTCCTCCAGAGCTGCGCTCTAATTCGGCTTTACAGGGAGTTGTAAACGGCTTTCATTTTTTTATATTTTTTAAAACTTTTGTAAGACGACCGATTGGCTCTCATATGTTGAGTGGCGCAACATCAGAACAATGCTAAACCCCCAACACCGTGATTTCCGAAGAACTATGTCGTCCCAGGAATTTTGACATCAACATGCAGGCTCGGAAGTCCTGCCGAAACGAAGCGACCGGAAGTCTCTTTGGATTCAAGAGGCGGCTTGTGTTTGTAAGCAGTAGGAGGCCCTGTACCGGGTTCGATCGAGAAAATGAAACGCGGTTTTTCGCGTCGCAGAAAGTTGTACATCTGTGTGAGCATGTGAGGCGAGCGGCGGTGCAGAATACGACACTTTCAGAAGATGACGTTCCCTGTATCAAAAGGGGCAAGCGAAAAAAGAAAGTCATTGTGGGGGCCTGTAGCATTTATTACAGTGGAAATGACGTGTCAGAAGAAAAATAACAATATTCTCTTCATTGCTGACAAGTTTTTTTTTTTTTTTTCCACTGAATTAATCGTTACAGACGCCCACAATCATTTTCGGTGTAATGCTTAGGTAAACGTCATTTTCACATAAAGAAAAAAAGTTTTCTTTGTGTACATGTTGATCCAGCTGACGGCATGTTCTCTATACCTGACATTCTAGCCCCACCGCTAGCGCCACATTCTGACAGTGTTTCAGCTCCCTGCGATCCATACTGTATTTATGATAACCCAAAATACACGGTTCAATTTTTTCGATTGGACCCGGCACATCTACAGGTATAAAATAGATTTATATTTATTTAGATTTAGTCTTGTTTACGGTCCTCCCAACAGCTTAAAGGCTTAAATAGGCTTACATGTACATATGCTCTATAACAATAAGGACAAAATAAACAAATCTGGCCACAGCCTACTAAGCAATCATCGATTGTACACTTTTCTTAAACATTTCAAAGGGTATAAAAATCGACATCAGCGTTATTTGACTTATCATGGGGAAGTTGCATAGAAATCAAGGGAGATTTAGATTGTTAGGAGCGACCGTAAAAAAGTATAATTTTGTCGTCGGGAAACATGAAACGAAATATTACTAAGTAACAAAGGGGAGTCAATGAGAGCGTTGAGTACTTTGTATACGTACACTAAATCACGAATTAATCTTTCAGAAATAGGCGAGAGACGAAGAGTTTCTAAAAGGCTCATGTAATCGTAATAAAGTTTACGTCCGATATGGCGATCATAAATAATTCGAACAAGCAGTCGTTGCACGCCTTCCAAACGGTGAGCTTCATTTACGCCTAGGGAATTCCATACAGTTCAAGAAAATTCTAACTTTGACAAAACTAGTGAGAAAAAGATGAAGCACACACGAATAGCTGTGCAAGCTTCGAGTAACGTGTCATATTACGCCAAGGAAACGATACGAATCATTGATAATTTTACTAATATGAACCCCGAACTTCAGGCGGGAATGAATCAAAATTTCCAGGTCACGGACAACTGAAGACCTTGATATGTCAGTGCCATCTAATGTATAACGGTGATGAATGACATTAGTTTGACATAAAAAAGTGTCAACTTTAGTTTTTACGGGATTTAAAGATGACATATTTGCATTACACCAAAGATGGGTGGCATTAATGTCAAGCTGCAATAGCTCACAGCCTGCAGTTAATGCTACGATAACCTTGACATAGTCAGCAGATTGAAGCACGCCTGAATTGCCTAAACCAGTCGCAAGGTCATTTACAAATATAATAAAAAGGAGCTGTCCAAGGTTAGATCCTCGCGGCAATCCGGATTTTAGAACGTAGGGAGAATACCTGTGCCCTAAGTTAAGATATTGTGTTCGGACGATCCCTGAGATAGCTTTCGAACCATTTACAAAAGCCAAAAGCCACACCGAGGGTAGATAACTTTGTTAACAATTTACTGTGATCTACACGATCAAACGCTTTAGAACAGTCAAAATAAATTGTATCTACCTACCCTCGGGGCCCAACGAGAGACTTTGAAAACTCCAAGAACGTTATAAGCAAACGGACCATGAACCAACCCGCCGTTTACCATGAACCAACTCGCCTACATCACGACACTGAACGTTATAAGGCTTATCTCAACAGATCGCCCGTGACAAAAACCACGCTGGCGAAGGTTTTGCGTAGGCGTAAATTGGAAACTGACACGCTTTAAAGTACAATTTTCAAAGACCTCAGAGAAGGTGGAGAGCGGCGCAATTGGTCTAGAATTGTCGACACAAACGGTGCTTAGAGCTCCTTGGACTGGCACAATCAAAGCGTTCTTCCATACTTTTCGTGGATGCCGAGGGCATGGAAAATCATCATTGCAAACGTAAGAAATGTAATCATCACCGCGCAGAGTTTACCTTCCAAAGTTTACCTCCCCCCTTCCATCTGCCTTCGTAACAGATGCTTCGTGAACGGGCCCTAAAGGTCCACCCACGAATCAGAGGTTGACTACACGTCACGAGGCCATCCTGAGGAACTTGCGTAACGACCGCGAGTGACCGAGTCACCCGTGTTTCGCACCCAGCCTGGCAACCAACAGGCCGATTTCACCAGCCCGGTGATAGTTGCAGGGATGTAGAGAAAATGTTTTCTCTACATCCCTGCTTTTTGCGTATTTAAGGGGGAGAGGAAAGCATTTTCTTAGACTAGGTGGCGCAAGCTACCGCCCGTTACAAAAGGCATCGCCAATATAATCCATCCATCCAGCCTGTTTTGTTATTTATACGAGAGCCAAGGCGTTCGCTGCAGACAAGATGACAGACGTATGTGCGGACACTCTCATGCATGTTCAAGCATGTTTGCTGGATACAATCTTACACTTCCAACATGTACAATACATGACTTGCACTGACGCTACTTTGCGTACTTTGGGCCACCATGAAAGAGAACGAGAGAGGGGAGCTGCTTTCTGTAGGAATTTTGAGTGACGGGTTAATCTATAATCTCTGGGACAGAAGAGCGACCTCTGGGTATATCTGTGGAAGACACAAAAGGGGGTCCTGGTAAGAGGGGAGCCCTTCTTTCCTCCTTCGGTGGTGGCCATTAAAGCGCTTTTTGGACGACGTCATGCACAAGCCACGAATACATCGCACAAAGGACAGTCTGAAATGCATCGTTGGAGGCGTGTTTTTTCCTCGTAGGACGCTAGTGTCCCGTTGGTTGCAGAAAAACGACCTGCAGACACCTTCCAGGCATACAAATGACAACGAGATCGTAGCTTCCAGCACACCGTCAGCTTAGGGATGATAGGAGCACACCGCATTTTATGCATTCTATAATCCGTGGGCTATACATATTCCAAAGTTAGAATTTTACGCGTGGCAAACTATCTGCAGTTGTGGACTAAACTCGTCATTATGACGCGACATGACAGGTTTTAAGAACGACGGGGTGTGCTAGTAAAGATCTATGTATGACTCCTTTTTTTCTGAGCTAATACAGCGGGACTACGTCAAGGTGTGCAGTGTTTGGTAATGTTTCCGTGCAGACCGAGCACCAGGCGCGGACTGTAGACCAAGACAGTGTTTACAAACAAGTCAGCGTTTTCCCACACCAGGTGTGGTCATTGCGCGTGCGCAGGAACCGAATTCCCGCGAAGGTAAGCGTGTGCGCATGCGCAGTGCCCACAGCAGCGCCACCGCAGTGCCGTGCCATCAGAGGGCTGAGTTCGCACCGGGTGCGAACTCTTAGCCATTTCTGGGAAATCAGCGGCACAGCTACTTGCTGTCGCCCCCCCCCCCCCCCAAAAAAAAAAAAAAAAGAAAGAAATGCTTAGCGTTTTATTTATTTGTTGCACGAAGTAGTTCTTCCAAGATTTGGTTCTAGAAGGAAGAAATTAAGTTTTTAATGTTTTAAAATTAGTAATGTTCCGCGAGGAGGCGGACTATTTTTTTACCAGGCTTCTCGAGGTGAATAAGAGTATATATTTTTTATTTTTTATTTATTTATTTTTTCTTTCTTTCCGGATTGACCAGGAGGTGGGCAGAGACTAAAGGCGTGATGCCTGACGAGGTCTCTGTCTCCTTTACGGTTCTAACACAGCAGTGCGGGGACATAGATTTTTGAACACGAAAATTAGAGAAAAGATCGAACCTATAAAATTCTATACAACTCAGAAACAATAAAAAACAGGATCGATCAATTATCCCACGATAATTTTTTTTTCAGCAAAGAAGGATAAAAACAAATTGGTCAGAAACATGTTTTAACAATTCAAAAGTGAAATATGGACATGATTTAATAAGTACACAGTACACACATATCAGAACACAATGTAGCTGCCCATCAAAAGTGTATTTAGTCTTTTTTTTTAAAATTAGAGTATATTGCAGTTAAAATCTATTAGATCTTCCGTAATATTCAAGATTTTGGCGGCTTGGAAGCATGTCGTTTGTTTTCCGTAATTGGTACGTATTTTTGGAGGTCGTGTGATTCTATCTCTAAGCGTGTGATACGTTGTGTGTTCTGGCGGAATATT